ATTTGAATTTGAATTTGTAATTGTACGAAACATGTGTTCCAAAATGTCATCATNGAGCTTTTAAGAAAGAGGGGCATTGAAAATTTACAGTTTACATGAGAATAGAGGGGCGTTATGAATTTAGGAAGACATGTAAAATAAGAGAGGCATTATGAATTTAGGAAGTCATGTAAAATAAGAGAGGCATTATGAATTTAGGAAGTCATGTAGGCATTGTGAATTTAGAAATACATGTAAAATAAGAGAGGCATTGTGAATTTAGAAATACATGTAAAATAAGAGAGGCATTGTGAATTTAGAAATACATGTAAAAAAAGAGGGGCATTGTGAATTTAGAAAGACATGTCAAATAAGAGAGGCATTGTGAATTTAGAAATACATGTAAAATAAGAGGGGCATTATGAATTTGGAAAGACATGTAAAATAAGAGAGGCATTGTGAATTTAGTAAAAAAAGAGGGGCATTGTGGAATTATAGTCAACATGAGAATAGAGGGGTTTGGTGAAACAGGTCTTACGAACCTTGGATTCGCCAACATCGAATCTGCCCCAAATTTGTGTGACAACGCCAGTCAAATAACACGCTCTCTCTCACACTAGCCAACAGAAATTCTTGACGCTAACAACTGCGTCTTAATGTCATCACAAGGAAGGTGGATCATTCCCGGAATTCCTTACACTAGCCCTTTTATCATTCCCTCTCTTCTTCCCTCTCTTCTCCTCTCTCTTTCATCCTTCCTATCTTTCCTCCTTCCTATCTCTCCTCCTTCCTATCTTTCCTCCTTCCTATCTTCCCTCCTTCTTCTTCTTCTCCCTACCTTCCCTCCTCACTTTTCCTCCTTCTCTACTCCTATCCCCCTCACTTCCCTTTCTTTTCATCACTTCTTTCATCCTACTACTTTTTTTTTATTTTTCCCTTCATTTTCTCACATTTTCTTTCAATTTTATCTTATTTTCTTTTCCCCTTTTCAAAAACACCTTCTTCACACCATCCTCATATTCCACCTCTTTTCTCTACTCATTTCCTCTTTATTCAACATTTTTTTTACTTCCACCTTCCAACTTATCTTTCCTCACCTACCAACAACCAATTCTTTTTCTCCATTCCACATTTTTTCTCATTTCTACTCTTTCATCATTACTCATCCATATTGATTCCTTCGATGTTTCCCTGCCATCGTAAATTCCTTTGCCCTCCAACACAACTGATTTCATTTTTCAGTATCTCTTATTTTAATCCTTTGTTCTCCTCGATGCTGTTGTCTGACAAACGTTACTTATGAAAGCCTTCTTGAGTACACTTGCACCCATTATGCACACAATGGCCCCCGAAGCGTACATGATGTCTTTTACAAGAAGGCTAATCCAAATGAAATATTCTTACACTAGCCATCGTAAATTCCTTTCCCCTCCAACACAACTGATTTCATTTTTCAGTATCTCTTCACATCCATGCTTGATCAGCGTATGTCGTCCAACGCAAACAGCCCACCAGCTGTCAAACGTCTCAATCATACCCCCGCTTCAAAAACAAACAAACACTCACTTCAACATTGCAAACTGCCGTTTCGCCTCAATCACAAGCTTCAGCACGCGCGGGTGACCAACGCGCCCCTCTGCTCCGTACAGCCAGTCCACAAGCGCCTGCATCTCCGACGGGTCAAAGTCCCGCCCTCTAACTGCCAGCAGCTCAGCCGGGCACTCCAAGCGCTGCATGATGCCGCGCAAAGTTTGACTGCGTGACACAGACGCGACCAAGGCCCGGATGGCCTCGCGGTTGCGCTGGGCACAGGCCCGCCCCGTGCACTCCACCACTCGATCACCCCCAATCTTCTGCGGCCTCCAACACCGGTAGCAAACACCCGCCCCCAAGGTCACTTGGCAATTGCTACTACCATGACCGCGGCAGTGGCATCGAAAACAGCGCCCTTTCATGGCCGGGCAGCTAGAAGGCTGGTGGTGAGCAACCAAGCGGTCTCTGCTGCAGCTGCAGGCCCAGCAGTAGGTTCCATAGCAGAGCCGTGTTAAAGTCATCTGACTGAATTGGCGCCGATGGTACCATCAACTGCGCTCGTTTGGCCCGCGTCTGGCCCTCGTGTGATACTGGCGCCCCATGTGCTTCACGGCTTGGATGGCGCGCTGTGATGGTCGGTTGCATCATGGAGCAGACGGTGCAAGCCGGCGCTCCTGCGGCCGCACAAATGTGGCCCTCACCATCCAGCAGCCAACCAAGCTCAAAGGTCAGGCAGCGCTTCATGCTTGCAAATGGCTGCAGATCTTCCGAAATCGTTGTGCCTGGTGGTATCCATAGCGTGGCCTCGCCACCCCGTCGGTCGCGGCCAGCCCGGCCAAAGGCCTGCGACAAGGTGTAGCCGTTGTAGCCGCTGCCAAACCAGATCACCTTCCGGACGTTGGGCATGTCCAAGCCCGCGCCCAAGCAGCTTGTGGCCACCAAGACCAGACTCTGCGTGCCGCTCCTCCACTGCTCAAGAGCGGCTCGTGTGTCTTCGGCTGACAGGTCAGCATCCACGGCCAGCGACTGCTCGTGACCCAACGTGCGTGCCAACTGAGTCGACAATGCCTCAACCTGCTTCTTCGTGTCACAAAAAATCAGCATGCGATCCACGCGGCCCTCTCGCTCCAACATGTCGTATTGGTGTTTCACAAACTTCTCAAATGCCTTTGTTGTTCCTTGTTGCACCCCTAGCCGAAGATCGGTTCGCATGGTTGGCATACGAAAGGTCTGGTACGAAGCGTCCTCTGTACAATCCAGCTGTTGGAGCAGAGCCCGCTCATCTTTGGGGCAAAGCGTGCCAGTGAGGCCCACACACTTGACTGATGGGTCTTGGTGAAGATGGTCCAGCCGGCTTGGGCAGCGAACAAGACTCCCTCGATAGCTGGTGTCCACGAGCATTGTGTGAACCTCGTCCATCACCAGCATGGCCAGACGTTTCTGCTGCACGAGTGTTTGCACCCACCTCATCCCATGGCCAACCAAACCGTCATGACAATCACTTGAACGTTGACTTGCATGTCACGGCCATCATTCTTAGCCCACTGCGATACAATGTCAGCCTGCTCGAAGCGGCGGCACAAGTCTCTGGCAAGCTCACGAAGCGGCACTACCCACACCACGACCTTGCGTGGCTGGAGGTGAGCGAGTGTACACAGCGTCTTGCCCATGCCCGTCGGGGCCACGGCCAACAGCCAGCCGTCCTGGGCTTCGTGCCGAGTCACAGCCTGTGCCAATCGATACTGATCCCAGTCGCGAAATGTTGTCTTCCACGCTTGCCGCACACATTGAGCAAGCCAAAGCTGATCTTCATACTCTTGTTGCTGCGTTTGGTCATTGTGCTGGCTTGGCTCTTGCTGCAAGGCCGTCGACGCAGCCTCTTCCACGGCTCGCGGCACGGCAACTGGCATGGACGATTCGGCTGCCTCGGCTTCATCTAAATCCAACCCGGCAATGATATCATCAATGTCGTCCTCAGCGTCAAGGCAGGCTTCAACCTCGGGATCTGTTTGCGTGCCCACGGTCACTTGCACCTGCGTGCTGACGTTTCTGACCCGAGACGACTGGATGACCACTTGTTTATGAGCCACTTGTTGCACGCAGGTCTGCCCATCCACGGCCTCGGCTTGGATCTGATCCTCTACATCTACCAGCTTCATGAGCTTGTGCCATTCTTCAGACACAAACTGATGGCCGTACTGTGCTTCACTGGACACAAACTTGTGATCGAGCTGCGTGCGGCCATAGACGTTGCGTGCCGTTCTGCCTGCATGCTGGCTTTGAGAGTGTGCCACATTCAACGCCCCCAATGAAGGCTCGGGCGTATGATGCAACACCAGTGTACGCAGCCAAGCCACACTCATGTGCCGCCATGCGCTGACAGTGATGCTGGTTCCAAGAAACCGCTTGGTCACGGCCTGGATGGTTCGGTAGACTTGGCCTGGCCGAAGCTGCTTTTCGAGCTGCATTGGCGCAATGTTGAACAGCAGCTCATACGTGCCCTCCTGTGCGACACGCTTGGCCGCTCGTAGATCGTCGTGCTGGTCGTCAACAGAGCCAACAGTGTCTGGCTCGATTGAATCTTCGACCTCCATCGCGTCGGCCTCGAGCTCATCTTGCTCTTCTTCCGTCAGGGAATTGGGATCTATTGCCTCAGACGTGATCAATTCGTCTCGATCTTGCAAGTAATCAGCAAACAGCTCCTCCAGCGGCTTGCACAATAGCAGGTACGCCATCATGACCGCACTGGCCCGCTTGTCCATGTAGTGTGCAGCATGCGACTCGCGGTTGCTGATCCATGTGGTTTTGCCTTGTCGCGCGACAAACGCCAAGCGGTCTCCGGAGAAGAAGACATTTCTGGGGCTGGCGGAGGAGTCGCGATAGAAAAGGCTCGTGTATACCATCGCACGCACGGGGAGACCTTTGCACAGATGTATGGTGAAACTCTGCGTGGTGTACAGTAATATGTTCGTACGTCCAGACTACCAGACGTACCAGTTGAGAGGAGTGCATACGTCAATGCCAGGCGATTAAACTCTCGCAGGGAGCAGATTCAGCGCATTTTGAGGTTATGATATGTCTGTGGTCAATTCACAAAGCAAACAGAGCAAATGGAAACATACCACTTCCGATCTACAGGACCGTACTTCATCTCGATGACAAGAACAATCACAATGTTTTACACGCCTTCTTGATGAGCGCCGTGAAGGATTATCAAACATCATCGCCAGGACTGGCGTCTTCCAGTACTACAGTAGCTTCTAGACATACGTTTCTGCTCGTAGTTCAATACATATTAACGGTGCTTCTTGTGCTTCTTGTTTTTTTTTTTTTGTGCTCGCGCTTGCTCCGTTCCTCCTGCGGTGAAGCGCCCTCATCACCAGCTCGCGCAGCGCCGCAGCCGCCAATATTTAGTCACCATTGCCATCAGTCGATGTCATGACGAATGAAGATGGGCGGTTTCTCGCTTTTTTTCAGTGGTTGTTGGACTGTTCTGCTTCAGATGCTTGGCAACGCCTGTCCTGTCCGTTGACTTTATTTTTTGTTTGCATGGCAATTAACAAGGCAAGCACAAGCGTCACGCTTTTCAATTCGTGGGTGCAGCTTGAGCGGCGGACGTTAGAGCGGCCACGCGATCACCAAGGGTTTGAAGATCTTGAATATTGAACAATTGAGGATCCACGCGCCAGCCGACGCTACAGAGCACAGCAGCAGCGCGTCGCCAGCGTCTGACCTGCTCTGCATGAATCAAGCCTTGGACTGGCGCCAGGTAAAAGTCCGATGAGGACAAGACAATGCGGACAATAACAAGTGAATCAGGTTCGCACCATCGGGATTCGAAGTTTGGTAGGAGTGAGGGTTACAGATTGCGCCCAGTAGTTCTTCAATCAGCTATAAATTGAAACAGATTCATTGTTAAGCAAGCTTGTCTCTGCAATCAGTACCACAGGAAAAATGGCCCACCTCCAGGTTGATGCGACTATTGCGAAGGAGCAGATCCAAGGGCCGTACACCCGTCTGCGACAGCAGTATAAAAGATAATCAGTATTTGGAAACATAAGGCTTGTTTGCATAAACAGGGGCGAAGGGGACCATCGAGTGTGCCGGGGTAAAACTGAAGAAACGGCACTGAAAGCCGCTTGAGCGCGCGAGAGAGGCAAAGGCGCGATGGCAAGGGATGGGGTAGTGCTCGGTTTGAAGTCACAACGTCAAGAAAAGGGAAGCAACGGAAGATACAGCGGAACAAAGCGGGTAGCATGGAGCAGTGACAACGAGCGGACGCAAAACGGGCGTAGGAAAGGGATAGGGGGAAAGAAGAAAAGGAGCAAGGGGCAGAACGGACGAGCACGGGTGGGCAGGGTGTAGAGGAGAGAACAAAGGCGACGAGCAGCAGCAGCAGCAGCAGCCAGAGGGGGTAAAGGGGGAAAGAGGGAGGTACTGTACTGACATTGGTCTTGGCCTCAGTATCAGCACCCTGCTCGAACAGCATCTCCCCCACCTTGTCATGACCGCTAAGGCAGGCATTGTGCAGTGGTGTCCAGCCATTCTGTGGGATGATGCGTTCAGCATGACGTACAGGTACATCATCATCATCATCATCATCATCATCATCATCATCATCATCATCATCATCATCATCATATGTGGTACAGATGCACCATCATAGCGGGGGTAAAAGGGCGAAGAGGGAGGTACTGTACTGACGTTGTCCTTGGCTTTAGCATCAGCACCGTGCTTCAACAGCATCTCCGCCACCTTGTCATGACCGTAAGCGCAGGCATAGTGCAGTAATGTTTCGCCATCCTGTGGGATGATGCATCAGCATGACGTACAGGTACAGCATTATCATCATCATCATCATGATGGGGTACAGGTGCATCATCATAGGGGGGCAAAAGGAGGGAAGAGGGAGGCACTGTACTGACGATGGTCTTGGCTTTAGCATCAGCACCGTGCTTCAACAGCATCTCCACCACCTTGACATGACCGTTAAGGCAGGCATAGTGAAGTGATGTCCAGCCCTTCTATGGAATGATTATCAATCATTAGGATGCCGTACAGGTACAGCATCACTATCAGCATCATCATGTGGGAGAGGTATACTATCATAGTGGGGTGTAAAGGAGGAAAGAGAGAGGTACTGTACTGACGTCGTTTTTGGCTTCAGTATCAACACCGTGCTTCAATAGCATCTCCACCACCTCGTCATGACCGTTAAAGCAGGCACTGTGCAGTGGTGTATGGCCAGCCTGTGGGATGATGCATCAGCATGACGTACAGATACAGCATCATCATCATCATCATCAGCATCATGTAGTACAGGTGCACCATTATGTGGGGGGGGGGGGGGGGGGGGGGGGGTAAAAGGGGAAAAAAAAAAG